CGGGTTCGATCCCAGTCACGGGCACATGCCAGGGTTGCGGGCTTGATCCCCAGGGGAGGGCTTGCAGGAGGCAGCCAATCAATGATTCTCTCTCATCATTGATGTTTCTATCTCTCTCTTCCCCTCCCTTCCTCTCTAAAATCAATAAAAAATATATATTTTAAAAAGAATCTCTCTTTGTCTTTACCCTTTTGAATTTGAATTACAGTGTTTCTTGGTGTGGGTCTCTTTAGATTCATCTTGTTTGGGACTTTCTGCCCTTCCTGGACTTCTGTGTTTATTTCCTTCACCAGGTAAGGGAAGCTTTCTCTCTAGTCCCTTCCTAGTGCCACTTTCTCAGCAAAATTCTGGAAAGAATGGACATTATTGGGCAAACAATTTGTTTTTGCTTCAGAAGCTCTTCTAGATTCCAGCCTGTCTTATCAGTCCATACTATCATGTACATTTCATCAACTTCCTTCTTCTCAAGGTCTCTGTTTATGGCAAGCTCTCTCTTCTATTGGTCTGTACCCAGACCAGCCTCCTGACCCAGGTCTTTTGGGGTTTTTTTAAATCTTTATTGCTGAAAGTATTACAGATGCCCCTTGCAATCGTTTTCCCATTGACCCTCTCCATTGCACACCTGTCCCTCCCAGGCCTTCAGCACACAATTGTTTGTGTCCACGGGCTATACATTGTTGACTTGATGATCACCATTCTGACAAGTTTGAGGAAATACCTCATTGTCATTTTAATTTGCATCTCTTAGATGATTAGTGATTTTGAGCATTTTTTTTTATATGTCTCTTTGCCTTCTGTGAATCCACTTTGGAGTAGTGTCTATTTAGTTCCTTTCCCCATTTTTAAATTGGATTCTTTGTGTTCCTTTCATTGAGCTGTATGACTTTCTTTTATATGTGGGAAATTAACCACTTATCAGATGTATCATTGGCAAATATGTTCTCCCATGCAGTGGGCTCTCCTTTCATTTTGTTGATGGTTTCTTTTGCTGTGCAGAAGCTTTTTGTTTTTATGTAGTCACTGTAATGTTTAATCTAAGATGGAAGATTTAATCTGACTGAAACCAATAAGTTGACCAAGACAAGCAGGGTAAAAGCGAAAGATTGCGTTTATTGAAAGCTCCTAGGTGAGGTCCCACGGTCCAGGAGCACAGGCCGGGGGAGTCACACCCACCTATGCCTGGCAGAGCTTCTTAATGCTGCTGTTGGACCAATCAGGTTTATCTGAGGTAGCTTGTGGCGGGTGATTTATGAGCAGGAAGTTTGTACGGTTGCACCCTGGCCATCCTGAGAAGCCTCGGGTGGTCATTTATTGTCCATCAGGAAGTTAGCACAGCAGGATGTGAGCGTAACTGTGACTTGGTGTTCTGGTGGGTCCCAGGGTGGTTGCTATTGTCCAATAGGAAGTTAGCACAACTGTGGCTCGGTCATTCTGGGTTGTTTGTCCAACTCAGCGGGTGGCATCGGGAAAGTCCCTATTTTCCCAGCCCCAGACTTTACAGTCACATTTATTTTCTCCTTAGTTTCCTTTGCCCTAGGAGATGTATCCATAAACATACTGCTATGAAAGATCTCTGAGATTTTGCTGCCTATGGTTTCTTCTAAGATTTGTATGGTTTCACAACTTACATTTAAGTCTTTTACCTATTTTGAGTTTATTATTGTATGGTGTAAGTTGGTGACCTAGTTTTATTTTTTCACATATACCTGTCCAATTTTCCCAACACCATTTATTGAACAGGCTGTCTTGACTCCATTGTATGTTCTTGCCTCCTTTGTCAAATATCAATTGAGTGTAATGGCTTGGGTCAATTTCTTGGGTATCTGTTCTGTTCCATTGATCTATACTATAACATGATATCTGGTATTGTGATTGCTCCAACATTGTTGTTCTTTCTCAAGATTGCTGTAGCTTTTTTTGATTCCATATAAATTTTGGGGGAATTGGTTCTAGATCTGTGAAATATGCCGTTGGTATTTTAATAGGGATTGTGTTGAATATATAGATTGCTTTTGGAAGTATGAACATTTTAATGATGTTGATTCTACCAATCCATGAACAGCGTATATTCTTCCTCTTGTTTATATCTTCCTCTATCTCCTTTTTCAAAGTCCTAGAGTTTATTGATTTTTTGTTTTTTTGGCTTTTTTAGTCTCTATATAATTTATTTCCACTCTGATCTTGTTACAGGGTGTGGGACTGAGCCATGGAAGGGTTACAGAATGTTACAGAATGTGCTAAGGGGAGGAAATGAGACATGAGAAATTGAATGTGCTGGGAGAGGGGACTGACGTAAGGAGAGGGATCGCTTCAGGATATGGAGAAGCATTGTGTCAGGGTTAGGAACCATGGAAGAAAAATTGCTAGATTGTCTTAGAAAAACAATGTGTTATGATATGCTGCAGCCAGGTGTGACGACTCCACTTACCTCCCCTTTGTGCTTATGAACTTTCTATGAACTTCTAAGGAACAGCTAATGAAATGCTTTGTATTTTTTTAACACTTTCGCTATAAAGGATCATACTGCACACATGCTCTTTGCCACACGCTCCAAAGCTCCCAGAGGGGGAGATAGGCGCTGTGGTCAGCTGGCCACTGAATGGTTTCTTTGGCAACTCATTTATTATTTAATAACATGCTATTTAGCCTCCATGTGTTTGAAGATTTTTGAGTGTTTTTCCTGTAGTTGATTACTAATTTCATTCCGTTGTGATCTGAGAAGATACTTGATATGATTCCAATCTTCTTGAACTTGTAGAGATTTGTGTCCTAACATGTGGTCTATCTTTGAGAATGACCCATGTGCACTTGAGAAGAATGTATATTCTGCAGCTTTTGAGTGAAATGTTCTAGAAATGTCAATTAGATCCATCTGTCAACCTTAATCCCTCAAAAGTGTTATAGGCAGGAAAGGGGCTGTTCAGATTTCAGGAAATGTGATTGGTGTATTTCCCTGTCCCAGAGCTACTCCTCTGCGATTGGCCCAAAATATCTGGATGCAATCCAGTGGGATCAGCTGGAGTCCTGGAGTTTCTATCAGCTCTCCCGTGCAGGGAAAGTACCAGACTAGGCTGGTGCCCAGGATAGTGGGTGGGTGGCCCCTTCCCCAATCCAGTCACTGATGCTTCCTGAGACTATTGAAACCCTCAAACCCATAGGCTTGACCTCAGCTTCTGTTTTCTCTAAAAATGGGCATTTAGGCTGTGGTAGGCATGGCTCCTGAGGGTAGAGTGGGCTGTTACCACCTAGGGCGGGGTTTTGTTTCTCTGACCTGCCCTGAGGCTACTGGGAGGGGTTAGTTCCTCTTTAGACAAAAGGCCATTTGGTTCGAGTGTATGAGACCAAGGACAGGGCTCCAGGCTGCTGCTTTTCCATGTCTCCCTGGAATGCTTCCCACCCGGGCCTCTCCTTAGGCACCTGAAGTCCACATTCTCTCCTTGCACCAAAGCCTCAGGTGAGCAGCTGCCAATGAAAACTTCTGTGCTCTGGGTTTAGAAAAAAGAAAAACAACTAAACTGTAGCCTTCTCTCTGACCAGCTCCAGGCCCCACTGTGGCCAGCAGCCCTGTCGCCTTTCACGGTGGGATGTTACCTGGGAACTCCGGGCTCTGGGCTCTGGTACTCCAGGCTATGGAGCCCATCTGGGTCCCGGCCTCTATCTTGGAGGGAACAGCCTCCCGTAGCCAGGAGCTCCCTCCTCGCTCTCCACCTGCCCGCCTGCCGCTCCTGGACACTCGGTCATTTCCTCTCCTGACCTCGCCCTTCCTGTCGGTCTCCAGGTGTTTTCTGTCCTTTCTTGATATAAGTCCCCTCCTTCACTGGGACCTCAGTTGGTAACTATGGGTGCATGTTCCCCACTTTAGTTTTATTTCCAGTCTGGTCCTGGGAAGAGGTGGAAGAAAAGTCTGCCTATTCGGCCACTATTTTCTCCTTCTCCCTGCCCCAGCTTTTGAGCTATTTCGCTCTCCGCTCATCTACAAAGGGCACATTTCTCTCTGGAATTCAGTTCATCGTGGGTTTTTTGCATATACCACTCACTGCACATTCCACAGATAAGTATGGTTTTAATTTCAGTTTTTTTATTGTTACCGTGGGATAGCAGAACTTTCATATCCTTCCACATCAGATCAAATTAAGTCTCAAAACCAAGTGTCTTCCTGATCGATGTGCAGTATAAGGCTGACAGAGATAAGACACTGGTCTAGGAATATGATGAAAACGAAAGGTCTTATCCAGGATGGGATATATCAAAAGTTGAACATCAAACAAATAATCGTTGGCTAACAAGAGTTCATTCATAATAAGTGACCAAATTACTTCAGTGAGGCCAAATTTAACCACTATCCGACCTGATATGTTAGTTAGACTATGGACATTAGCCATTTTCCTGTCAAATCTGCAGGCCCTTCAATTTTTGGAAGTTAAAAGCAACCAAACCCAAATATGTAAGTATAAATTTTTGGATTGTATTTCTCTAAAAAAAATGGGAGAGAGAGAGACATCGGTTTAGGCTCAACAGGACTAAGATACCGTTAGGGTCGCCGAAGGAGGAACGCATGAGGCCAAAAAGGGTAAAGGATTATAAATGTACTAGAGGCCCGATGCCCTCGCCGCCCCAGCTTCGTCCGGAAGGTCGTCTGGAAAGATGTCCGGAATGTCGTTTGGCTGTCCAGTCTAATTAGCATATTATGCTTTTATTATTATAGATTATTACATCTGCTAGCAGAAGGGCTGAGACCAAAATGGCATCAGCAGGACAGAGTAGGGGGAGCAGGATATTTATGTCACTGTTAAGGGTCAGTCAGAGTAATGGGTCAGACCCGGTGTAGGTGGGGGTGAGGTGTAGGTGAGCCACTGGGAACTGGGTGAGGCAGTTTACTGGAAGCCAAAGGCCGTTGTTCATGAAACCTACAAGGAGAATAACAGAAAATCGCCGGGAGGAGCGAGAGCCCCCTGCAAGGCATGATGTGCCTAACAGATACTGTCTAAGAATGTGCCTAACAGTTACCATCTAAGATTTCTTCAGGCATAGACGTGAGACCCAGCACGAGTGTTAGATAACAGGGGAAGAAAGAACATTCCCACAGAGAAAGAGGAAGGAAGAAAGAAATACAACGTTGAGTTTTCAGCAGCTCTTGCCAATTTTACATTCTTTCTTCTTTTTTCCTTCTCTATGAAACATGATGAATGTGTGTGTTTTCCATGTGTAGGAATCACATATTTTAGGAAGACGTGCTTCCTAAATGTGAAAGTAATATGGTTTAATCTTATGAAATGAAATAATTAATTTGGGAAATTCCATTTTTATCTTCAGTCTTTCTTTGGTCCCCAAAAGCTGCCTGGTTCACTGTCCCTACATAAAGGCACTCATCTGTGCTACACTGAACAATTATATATTTAGAGAACGATGAGCAGGATGATACAGTAAAATGACCTCAGAGGCTCAAGTTGCCTAGAAATGAAGGACTCCTCTCAGTGGCAAAGGCTACACATAATCTTATTTCCCCGCAGGTCTCAGGAGCTGGATCCTCAGACTCCCCCCCAAACAGCTGGGTTCCAGTTAAAATTGCTTAGCTTCGGGGCTCAAGTATTTATACTTATTATTTTAACTAGACAACCAAGCGGTCTGGGCTGCCTGCCAATACTTGAGACAATTAAGCAGAGACAGGGTTGAATCATATATGAGTGTTTATTCCAACCCTGCCAACAGTACAGGAGAGCAGCAGGTCATCCACAAATATCTGCTCTGCAACTAACCACTGCTTATATTGGGTAAGACAAAAATTACATGGGGAAGTAGGCAGTGCAGGCTGAAGTGGGACTCCGTTGTTTGGGCAACAAGGTTAAGAAGGTTAAGGTTAACTCTGTCCATGATAATAGGCAGTTAAGCCAAACCAGTCAGGGCAATAGGCAGTTCTTGAATGAGACTGGACCGAATTCCAATATTGACTCCCAGGTCCAAGGTTGATTCCCAGGTCCCAGCAGTGTACAACTCCCAGACAGGTTAGAATGTCCTTTCTTTCATCAGAACAAGGCAATCACAGTTAACAGAGCATGATTAATATTTCTTATAACTATAGCTAGTCTCCAATATTCTGTTTTTGCCCCTAATGTTATTTCCCCTGACACCCTACATACATACAAGAACCCTGTTATCTTCTAACAGGGAGTAGTAAGCCTCAACGAAAGAATAGCCCTATATTTCATTTATCTCACTCATAATATAATTATATTAATTATATGATATATATAACATAATTATATATCATATATATAATAACATAATAGAATATCATATTATATAAAACTAGAGGCCTGGTGCATGAAATTTGTGCACCAGGAGTGGAAGGGGGGGGTTGTCCCTCAGCCTGGCCAGCACCCTCTCCAATCTGGGACCCCTTGGGGGATGTCCAACTGCCAGGATCGGGCTTAAACCGGCAGTTGAACATCCCTCTCACAATCTGGGACTGCTGACTCCTAACTGCTTCTGCCTGCCAGCCTGATCGCGCCCTAACCGCTCCCCTGCCGGCCTGATCAATGTCTAACTGCTCCCCTGCTGGCCCAATCACCCCGAACTGCCCTCCCTGCTGGCATTATTTTGGAAGAAAGAAATACAATGTTAAGTTTTCAGCAGCTCTTGGCAATTTTACTTTCTTCTTTCTGCCCCAACTGCCCTCCCCTGCAGGTCCTATTGTGGTGACCATCTTGTGGTCGCCATCTTGTGATGACATCATGCATGACGCCACCTAGGCTTTTATTTTATTATATAGGATAATTTGGGAAATTATTCAATTTGTATAAAATATGTTTTATTAGTTACATATAATTGTATTATATATTAACATATAACTGTAATTATATAGTATTAGTTGCTACCATTTATTAAGCTCCTATCATGTGAACACATTCTTCCTACTCTCTATCCCCCACCACCTTTTGCCTAATAATGCTAACTGACTTTTCAGATCCATCTCAGCTTGGTTGTCGGTTCCTACAGAGAGCCTTTCCCACATTCTCCTAGCCCGGGCCCTCCCCGTTCTCCATAATTTTCCTTTGTGAAAACACTGTTTAATTGCTGATCTCCCCAACAAGGGGAGAGATCAATTGCTTTGTTGGTCTTTATACTGCCAGCACCCAGAATAGTGCCTGACACATAGTAGGCATTCAATAAATATTTGTTAAATAAACAACGAATTAATGCTAGGCACTTTATGTGATAATATAGGAAAAAACAGCAAAGACCATTGTTTCCGAAATCGTTATCACTTCCTTTTTCAGCCAGCTATAAATAGCAAGAAAATTCAAGTGAAACGCTGTCTGTTAGAAGAGTGCCTTTCTTTTCACAATCAATGATCCTCTGAAGATGGCGCAGCACTATTTATGGATCTTGCTCCTTTGCCTACAAACCTGTAAGTTCTGACCCTTGTTGATCCCTTTCTAGTTTTCTATTACTTTTCTTAGAGATTGCCCTGAAGGAAGACATGGAAATGCCCTTCTGATAGGTTTCAACACAGATACCCTTGGTCTATAAGGAAAACAACCAGTAAGAGTCAAACCTGTTTGAGCTTTAGAGTTTGAATTTTTGTTTGTGGTGGGTCTCCAAAGAGCTGAGACAAACCCTTCTGCTCAGGAGACTCAGCACTTGGTAGATCTGGCCAGAAAGCCCAGAAAGAGAAGAAATAATACAAAATCTTGAATAACTTAAAAGCTATTTCTTTTGGGGTATTATAATGTGTCATATGGCTTTTGACAAAGGTATACTTTTCTCCATTATTTCATTGCCCTAGCAGATTGGAGTTCATGGCCATAATTGTCACTGTAAAAACTTGATCTCTGGACGCTTGCTTCATTTTCAAAGCACATTCAGAGTTATTACTCAGCTTCTATCTTCCAAAAACTCCCTAAAATAAATGAGAAGTGGCTATTATTCCTATTTTACAAATACATTACTTTCAAAAAAATGAAGAACTGGAACTAAGAACATTACTTTCAAAAAATGAAGAACTGGCTTTAAAAACTCTGTTTTCCTTACTTATGCTCAACAGTAAATTATAAAGGACATATGCATACTGTTTGTTGTCGGTACAAAGAAAACTATGTAACATTAACCTAGCTCTGGGTGTGTCTTTTCATTGCATATATTATTTAATTAAATCCAAATAATTGCCTTTCTTATATAAAAATTGACTCTGTTTGCCATTTTAAATCTATTTCTATTGTCTCTTACCAGTTCTAAAAATGCACTATCAAATTCCTGACACGAATGCGTGGGTTAGGATTTTCTGAAAAGGTAGAATAAATGCACCATGGTCTCTCTGGTTCCCTTGACCTTTTAAAATTGGGGCTCCTTCCATTTGAGCATCACAGAGATTGCACCCTAAATTTCTCCTGCTGCTGTTCCTGGCGAAGGTGGTCCCTTATGCTTACCATTGGACTGTGAATCAACTGCTTTCCTGGAACTCAGATTAGTGAAGCAGCTGAGAAGCAGTGGAAAAGGAAGTTAGAAATCCCCATTTTTCTCTTGAAATCACCGAAATAAGTGTGTGAACTCATGACTCTTCCATGTCGGAAAATTTTTCCCTCAGAGTCAAAACTCACAGGCTTATGTTCTGATCCTAACTTTCTCATCATGACTTGGGAATCCTGTGACTCTGACCATCCCTCCCAGTATCCTACCAGCCACCCACCCTCTGTGGTGGAAGACAGGAAGAGTCCATGTCCATTTCTCTCTACAAGTTTTTTTCCCCCATGGAATTTTAATTCTTCCTTTTCTCTACACCTTTCTTGTTTCAGTTTCTTAAACTCCTCCCCTTGTCCCTTCTCCTATCTCTCATCAATAATAGTAATTACTGACTATTTATGGAGCAACCACTATGTGTCTGGCATTATGCTAAGTAGCTACATTTATCATTTTATTTAATCCTTACAATACCCTATGAGATGAGTACTATTAATATCTCAAGTTCACAGGTGAAAGCATTGGCCCAGAATTCTGGAGGTCATTTAGCCAAAAAGTGGAGAAAGTAGGATTTGACTTCCAATGTCTTTAGACTTAACCACTGAGCAATGCTGCCTTCACCCACTTTGATGCTAAAGTGGAATAAAATCCTTGCCCTCCTATTAATTGTTACCACATTTCGGGATTTGTCAGTGAAGAGCCGTGACTCATTCCCAGCAAGGCCGGATTATTTAGGGAGAGACTGGGCCTGTTTCCACACCCACCTGTAGAGGTGGTTGGGATTGGTGGGCAGGCCTTTGCCAATAGCCAGAGTTCAGGGAGGCCAGCAGAGCAGAATACCCAAGGAAATGACCATATCGAGACACGGTTCAAACACCATTCACATCAATAGGATTTGGGTTGAGTTGAATTTGCTTCTTAAAAACAAACAAGGATTCAATAATATCAGCAAGGTCTTGTCCTGTAAAGCGTAGTCATGGGGCACCCAGCAGAGGTGAGTGGGCCCGTCTGGACACCTGCCCATGGATAACCAGGCCCCAACCATCATCCTGGGGGTTAAAGACAGGTTTTGTGCCTGGAGAGGAGTCCTGGCAAGAGCCATATGCCACTAGTCCAAAGTCCTTCAAAATAACGAGAAAGCCTCTGTTCTAGAAAGAGATCTGAGCAGACCACTATCTCAGACTCTCAGAAAGGGCTCAAAGGCCCACTTGTAGAAATGGAAAAATATATATATTCGGCATGGGGAAAATGAAGTATCTGCTAAAAATGCAGTTTCCAAAGAGAGGCTGGGAAGCTGCATCCTTGCGCTAACACAGGACTGCAGTGGGAGGGAGTAGAGGCCACTGCATCAGCCTGTTGGGCTGAATCAGCCGGGCGATCAGTACGGTGGACAAAGCAGCCAGAGTGCCTTCACACAGAAGCACAAAAGTCAGTCCCCAGCCATTCATAGGTTGAGCATTGACCCATGAACCAGGAGGCCATGGTTCAATTCCCAGTCAGGGCACATGCCCGGGTTGCAGGCTCGATCCCCAGTGTGGGGCATGCAGGAGGCAGCCGATCAATGATTCTCTCTCATCATTGATGTTCCTATCTCTCTCTCTCTCCCTCTCCCTTCCGCCTTGAAATCAATCGAGATTATATATATATATGTCAGTCCCAGTCTACTCAGGCTACTCAAGTATTTCTTCAGTCAAATCATTCTTTATTTTTTGTTTATGGGGGGTTTTTTGGTGAGTCCTCATTTAACAGTTGCCTCGGAGTATTATTTTAATCTCTGTAACAATGCTTTTTTTATTTTCTATAACAAACATACAAAGTGCCAGGGACTTTTGTAACAGGTTTATAAATATTAACTCATTCAACCTTCATAATACTTCTGTGAGGTAAGTCGTTCTGTTAGCTCCATTTGAAAGTTGGTAAAAGTGAGGCACAGAGCCTGGCCGATGTGACTCAGTGGTTGAGCGTGGATCTATGAACCAAGAGCTTGCCAGTGCGATACCCAGGTTGCGTCCCCAGTGGAGGCGTGCAGGAGGCAGCTGATCTATGTTTCTCTGCCATCGATGTTTCTATCTCTCTCTCCCTCTTCCCTCCTCTCTCTCTGAAAATCAATACAAATGTGTATTTTTTAAAATGAGGCACAGAGAGGTTGCTAATTTTCACTTATTGCTAGTACCTAATGGAACCAAGATTCAAACTCTGGGCTGTCTGGCTCTTTCTCACTAAGTCATAGTGCCTGACATGGGGGTAGACAGAGGGTGCTCCTCATGGCAAGACCCTTTTTGGAGCCTCTAGACCAGCGGTTCTCAACCTTCCTCATGTCGCAACCCTTTACTACAGTTCCTCATGTTGTGGTGACCCCCAACCATAAAATTACTCAGTCAAATCTTTCTTTCTTTTTTGTTTATGGGGAGGTTTTTTGGTGAATCTTCGCTTAACAGTTGCCTGGGAGTATTATTTTAATCTCTGTAACAATGCTTTTTTTATTTTCTATAACAAACATACAAAGTGCCAGGGACTTTTGTAACAGGTTCATAAATATTAACTCATTCAACCTTCATAATACTTCTGTGAGGTAAGTCGTTCTGTTAGCTCCATTTTATAGTTGGTGAAAGTGAGGCACAGAGCCTGGCCGATGTGACTCAGTGGTTGAGCGTGGATCTATGAACCAAGAGCTTGCCAGTGCGATACCCAGGTTGCGTCCCCAGTGGAGGCGTGCAGGAGGCAGCTGATCTATGTTTCTCTGCCATCGATGTTTCTATCTCTCTCTCCCTCTTCCCTCCTCTCTCTCTGAAAATCAATACAAATGTGTATTTTTTAAAATGAGGCACAGAGAGGTTGCTAATTTTCACTTATTGCTAGTACCTAATGGAACCAAGATTCAAACTCTGGGCTGTCTGGCTCTTTCTCACTAAGTCATAGTGCCTGACATGGGGGTAGACAGAGGGTGCTCCTCATGGCAAGACCCTTTTTGGAGCCTCTAGACCAGCGGTTCTCAACCTTCCTCATGTTAACTCTGGTGCCGTGTCACATAGAGAAATGTTTTGATATTTGCAACCATAGTAAAACAAAGACTTACATTTTTGATATTTATTTTATATATTTAAATGCCATTTAACAAAGAAAAATCAACCAAAAAAATGAGTTCGCGTGTCACCTCTGACATGCGTGTCATAGGCTCGCCATCACTGGCATACACATTTCATTTAATCTTGGTAACTCCTCAAGTGGCAGGGTATATATGTTTTACTTCATTTACCAACTAGAATCCTGAGACTTAGCATGAAAGTGACTTACCCGTGTCACTTAGCTCGTCTGCAGCAGAGCCTGAACTAGAACATGTCCTGGATCCCTAGTTCAGGGCACTTTTACTCGCCACCCTGAGCTGCCCCAGCCTGTGGATCTACACCAAGACAATTGTTTGCTAATGTCACGAGGGTATTAGAGGGAAAAGAAGTTACAGTTAGCCAACTGCTCCTTCTTGTGTATCAGTTTATACCCTGAGGCTTCCACACCAAGACACGGGACCGGTGAAGAGCTCTCTCTTGGCCTCACTCTTTCTCTGGCTCTGGGTTTCTCTACCTTGCTTTATGTTGCTGGAAAAGGGGTAATTGGGTCAGCAGCCTAAAAGTGTCCATTCTCTCAACAAAAATGTGAGAGTCACCCACTAGGTGGTAGGGAAATAGTGGTGACCGGAACAGACAAGGACTCTGCATTCATGGTGATTTCATCCTCATGGAGCTGAGGCGCTGCGTAGTGATGGCTGCTCTGAAGAAAACTAAAGTAGGCGAGGCAATGGGGAGTGATGGAGGGAACTGCTGCTTTAAGCCTGGTGATCAGGAAAGCTCTCTGAGGAGATGACCTTGGAACAGAGTTTCATAGTGACAGAGTGCTGCGTGTATTGTAGAAAAGGAAGTCAGGCCCTAACCGGTTTGGCTCAGTGGACAGAGCGTC